TCTCATAAACACTGATGATCAGTGGTAGATATGCACAGGAACCTGCACCCAGTGTGTCAGCAGGGGGCGTAACCCCCGTGGTGATCCCCCTCGATAACCAGCCTGATCTCTGCTCCCGGCGCCCAGGCAGCTGGACTGGAGGCCGGAGAAGGCCGGGGAGGCCCGGAAGCGGCACGAGCGCGTGCTGATCATCAGGAACATGTTCCACCCCAGCGAGTTCGAGGTGAGAGCCCCCCCCGTCTAGCACGGTCAGGGCTGCGAGGTGGCGTGTGGGTGTCCATCCGTCAGCGCCTGCAACTCGGCAATCGGCATCCGGTGGTGCCGCTGTGTCGTGGCAGCGCCTGTGGGGACCAGGTTGGACCACATTCCGCCGGGACCGCCCTCACCCCCATGCACGGTGGCTGCTGGGATTCCGGGTGTGTCGTGGGAAAGTCAGTGGGAAATGCTGGTGGGCTGAGGCCCAGATGGGGGGCCGGTTTCACAGCAGACAGAATCAGAGAGTCTGTAGGTGGAGATGCTTTGGGAGTCCCAGGCTGCCAGTGCAGCAGTGATGGACTGTGGTCTGAGAGATCAGCACTAATGCCAGTGTTGCATATTAACTCAAGCATCTGCACACACTTAGCAGTGGTATGAAATGTGATCTTTGTAAACCTCTCGGATATTTGTTTAAAAATGCACATTATTGGATGCTGTGCACGGACGTGCCTGGCTCAGGGTAACCTACACCTCCCTCTGCAAACCGTGTTCTGCACGCTGTTCGTACCGCGCGGAATCTGAGTCCAGCGCCTCACTGTGTACGAAAGGTGTTATGATGCTTCGCGAGGGTCCGAGTCACATTGCTGTGTACTATTGTAAACCTCACCCATTTGCTGGTTCATTAAAAAACTAGCTGGTCTGTATGGTTATTTCTCTAAATGGAAAGCAGAATTCCAGTGAGTGTAATGGAATGTAAAAGCACGTCCTCAGGCACTCAGTGCTTTTATTTGCAGAGAAACTCCACTCCTCAGGTGCCTCACTTCACACCCCTCCTCCCTCACTCTCACACACCCCCACACTCTCACCCTCACACACCCCCTCCTCCCTCACTCTCACACCCCTTACACTCACCCTCCCCTTCCTTCCTCCCTCACTCTCACCCTCCCCCTCCTCCCTCACTCTCACACATCCCCTCCTCCCTCACTCTCACCCTAACCCTCTCACTCACATCCCCCCATACTCTCACCCATCATACACCCCCTCCCCCCTCACCCTCACACACCCCCCACCCCCCCATGCTCTCCTAGACAGCATGTCCTTTAAGGTGACAGTGATTTCTCACCAGTGTCCGACCTGATATCTTCGCTGTCTGGATATGCGGTTCATAGAGGACTTAAGGTGCAGCTGTTTCTCATTACTCCCTCTCAGGAGGACCCTCTGGTCCTGAATGAAATCCGGGACGACCTGCGGACAGAGTGCGAGAAGTTTGGCCAGGTGAAGAAGGTCATCATCTTCGACGTGAGTATCTATTTTTTTTAACTGTAAAAACAAGATCTCCGTTGGTCCAACTGAACCAACACCTAAATCTGCCACCCCCCCCCTCCCCAGAGACATCCAGATGGAGTCGCGTCTGTTGCCTTTAAAGAGCCAGAAGATGCTGATGTGTGTCAGATGGCCCTGGAAGGCCGCTGGTTTGGGGGGAAGAAACTGTCAGCCCAGCTGTGGGACGGCACCACTGACTACCAGGTACGGCTGGGGTGGGGGGGGGCATTTATGAAGCTAGTCTCTTTATCCCATTAGTTTCTCAAACCAGAGCTTCTCTTTTGGTTTTAGTCGGCGAATGCAGTGGTGTCTTATGTGTGTGTGTTCAGGTAGAGGAGACAACCCGCGAGCGAGAGGAGCGACTGAAAGGCTGGGGCACCTTCCTGGAGGGAAAAGGAAAAGAAGAGAATGGAGGGAATGAGGTGAAAGACGGAAGCAACGGAGACAGAACCGGGGAGCATACGGTGCCCAGTGAAGCCGGGCCGGGGGAGGCGCCTGAGGCCGGGCAGGGACCCGAAGAGGCCCCAGACAGCAGCACGTGTGCGGCGGGGCCCGCGGAGGTGCACTCCACCGACAGCAGCATGGCCGGCAGCGACGAGGACGACACGTAGGCGGCCGGTGGGCGGGCGGGCGAGCAGGCAGCCGACCCTGCAAGACAGCGCCCTGGGGCTCCACCCCCCGGCTCGGCGCCCTGCTGGCTTACAGTGAACACCCCTAGGACTGTTCTAGAGGAGTCCGCCAGCGCTAAAGGGGCCTCCTGGAAAAACAAGCAGTAAATCACAGACACAGACCTCCCTGCCTCAGCTCCTGAAATTCTGGTTTAACCCCAGCTGTCAAATTCCTTCCTCCTTAATGGAAGACATTGGTGTAATTTCAGGTTTTTTCCTGTGCATTTAGCTATCAGGGGCTGGTCGATGCTTAAATGCAGTTCATGAAATGTATTTTTTTTTTTTGTAACGTTGAGACGGAAACACAGGTGGTCACCCAGTAAAAAGATTTGCCATTAGAGAGAATATAATCAGATGTAACTCAAGCACATATTTCTGTCTGCTGTATTGTGATGGTTTGATTATTTAATTGAGGCTCTATGGCTAATGCTACATTTTAAAGCTCATGATACTGTCAATAAACAGCCTTCTTCCAAACGCCTCTTCATCCATTTTATTTATCATGCAGATGAATTCCTTGATTCCTTAGTAGTGGGTAAGATCATTAGTGTGCTGGGAGCCCGGTAAACAGAAAGAATATGAGCCTTCTGAAAACCATAAGCTATCAAAACATATCTAGAATTCGAAACCTTTTCCAGGGCTGCCAACTCTGACACTCGCGCTTTCACGCTCACACAAGAAATCTTACGGCAAGTCTACATTATTCCACCTAAAATAGGCTACATCAAAAGCGCTGGGGTAGTCCGCAAACCCTACAGACTTATGACAAGGTAATAAACTCTTACATACATGTAAATGTGTGTGTATATCTCGAATTGAAGATCTCACGCCACCCAGCTAACCAGAGCTGACAACTCTTTTCACGATTTAACAATAATATATAATACAACTGTAAAGAGCATTAAAATACTATAAATATGCGTTTAATCCAATACATATTGTATGGATTGTCTAATTGCTAAATACATTTGTTATACTGTGATACAATTTCTCCCGATAACGCCAAGTTTCAATTTGGTTGCGATATTGTAGGTTTCGAAGACATTTTTTAAAAACTCGATTTGCGGGTTTAACTGGCCGGAGCACATTTTATTCTAAATAGTGTCACTGCAGGGAAATAAGCGACTGTTGAGAGACTGCGTTAGACTTGCGATCGGCCACAGGCTGTTGGACAGCTTCGGGGACCCGGCTAGCCAGTGCGCATTTTCCTCGCGATTTTTGCGCTTATTTGCGCAGGATCTTCGGGCTAACATGACATGATGGTCTGTGTTTGTCTGTAAACCGTGCTCTCATCTCTGTACTGACCAACTTTCGGTAAGCGATCCAGGGAAGGCTGCGGAAATCTGGGGAATATTTTTTATTTTTAAATAAAGTTATACTAAATGTTTCTCTGATTTATATGTGCTGCTGTACAAATAAAGGAACAGGCAGAAATTAACGTATGTATTATACACGCTTAATGGCTATCTGGATTATAAATAAAACACTGTATGTATTTATGTTTGAGCGAGAGAAAATCTGTATATGTCGAGTTAAAGACCTGTGCTGCTTTACTAATAATGAAACGTGTGAAGTTTTTCCCATTGCTCAGCATTGTGTAATAAAAAAAATCTTACCGGTATTATTTATAGGATTTTTCCCATTAGTGGTGTAAGACCTAAATGCATATGTATATTGTAGGCAATGTCTCTAATAGCATAGGGATACATATTATATGTAAACCACGTTTTATATAGAAGTTACGCAGTACACAAAATGACCGATGTTACCAGTTATCAGCATGCTATAACTAAGTTTATTCTCCATGTTCTCCTCAGAGCCCAGTGATGGACGACCAACCCGTGAGCCCCGTGACTGTGAAGGCTGATGATCAGTCCACTAGTGTCCTTTTCACCTACTTCCAGGGAGACATCAACAGCGTAGTGGATGAACATTTCTCCCGCGCACTCAACAAAGCCAGCAGACCCAAAGACCTCACCAGCAAGAGCAAGAGCAGCCGCCAGACCCCTAAATCAGGTAGACGTGGGGATAGAGACCCCCTCAGGCTCACAAAGTCACACGCACCCACTGCCAGTGAAATGACTGGATTCTTCCCCTGCCTTTTCAGAGGACCTCATCCCAGTGCAGTGGGCATACCCAGCATCCTCCTGGTCAGAGCCTCCATATCCCTCCACCTCCTCGGGACAGATCCAGTTCTCCATGTTGGAAGATGCCCACACTTCCCAGCGGGTGATGACCAGTCCATCTAACCTGTGGTCATTTGCCCCGAGGCCAGCTGCGGGTTTCGGAATGTCCTCAGTGGTGTACCCCTCCCCTGGGCCCGCTGAGGTGCCCGGCCCAGCAGAACGCCCATATGCCAACTCATTCCTGGGCCTGCTGCACAGTGACCGCCCTGGAGCGGCTGCCTCGCTCAGCTCCCCGTCCAAACCTGACCTTGCTCCAGGATGGAACCCCACCGCAGGATTCAGAGATCCGCTCGAATCTGGGATCAACCTTGACTCCGGTACTGCTACCATTTACCGTAGTCCTCTGTCGAATGCTGAGACGTTATGAACAGTGCTGGGAATTTCAGGTCCAGAAGTTACAAATCCAGACCAAGATTATGTTTCTACCAGCCAGTTGAGCACAAAGAGTCACAGTCACAGAGAACTCAGCTGCTTGGTAGAAACAAAATCTTGGTCTGGATTTGTAGCTTCTGGACCTGAAATGCCCAACACCGGTTATGAACCCTTTAACAATTGAATCTGTTATGTGCAAGGATCCAGCTTATCGTTTTAAATTCGTTCTGTTGGCAGTTATTTCTACTTCTGACTTTTTTTCAATTTACATTATAATGGGCCTTTGTTTTGCTCCTTTAGGCGTACAAGTTCCAGAAAAGAAGAAAGATCTCTACTGGTATTAATCTGCAATTTGCTCCGGTTCCACTGAAGAACAGGATTTTGTAAATGTATATTTGGGTGTGCATCCTCTTCCTGATCAGACGTCTACATGAAGCTCCATGAAACACTGCCTCATCAGAAGGCTCCCACAATGCCGAGCTGCACACCCAGCTCCAGCGCTCGCCCGTCACCGAGATGCTCATACCCCGAGGAGGTGTTGGAGTGAGCTATCTGCGTGAGCCATCACACCCACAGGCCGGCCCTCGCTCGCGTTCCTCTATGTGGAAGAACCTGTTTCCCAAACCGGCAGGTCGGCCTCTGAGAGTGACTCGAAGGCGGGACGGCAGAGGCCGAGTGGATTCCTGAGCACACTGAGGGATCAGGTTTGCCGACACATGGGTGAAGAAGCACTAATGGCGCCTCGTCTTCCTCCATTTCCACAGGACGACGCGTGTGACCGCGGAAGCCTGAAGAGAAAGAATATTCTAAAGGATCCCAAAGATGTCATCACACACTTTATCTAGCTGGCTAGATGTTGGCTGTGTTTTCACAGACATCTTCTTCCTGGTCCCAAATACAGAGGATTTGGTCGGATGAGGCGGAAAAACAAGACGGTCTTAGAATGAAATCAGAGGCGGACGGCTGCTAGCCGCTTGCTAACGCAGAGAACGGAGTCTGACTTCCATTACAAACCCAGCAGCCAGTGTATCACTGCCCAACGCCACATTCCCCGTCTTGGACTTCTTAAGATGGGGGAAGGTCACTTGACAAAACAGCCAGCAATGAATCACTCAGGGCTTCATGTTTGCATACAGCATCTACAAACCAGAGCTTCATTCGGGAAGTGAGAATGAATTGGGCCACCTGTATATTACTGCCATGTTGTGAATATGACTTCATGGAAAATTGAGATGAGGTTTTTTGATAATTAATATAATATATTGTATACTCTGTTTAACGAATACTGTAAATATGAATTGTAATTTTCTTTACACCTTAAATGATTTTTCTTTAAAGAATATCAGCTATGCAAATGCATTCTTGGTGTTTTGTCTTCCATTTCTAGAGGAGGGAAGATATTACAAAATGGAAAGCTCTTATTCATTTCCTTAAATGACAAAGTGCACATTCTTGACACTGACAGACAGGCAGTTTGAGGAATTCCCTGTCCCTTAGAACACTTGTTAACTAGTTAACCTGTTGACCATGCAGATTCATAAAGTTTAAAAGTATTGCTCATTCCTGCATTATAATGTCAGACTTAAGTACGAAATCCATACTGGAAATGTAAGACGTATATTCCAGAAGGACCCATATGGTACTGTAAACGGTCCAATAGACACTGAGTGCAAAATGTTATGGTCATATTTAGTCGGCCAGGCGGAAAAGGCACATTCGAGCTTATGCGTTTAATGCTGTGCTACAAATATGGTGCCCTTTCTCAGCTGCAAAAATATATTCCTAGGTGTCAAACTTGATTTGCAACATTAGTATCAATTGAAAATTTGATTTTTATTACTACTCATCTATAGGTGTTAGAGAGACTGGTACCGAACATTAAGAAGACAAATGAAAATAAGTGTAAGCATGAATTTCATCATCAGCGTCATCTTTTTGATCGGGACTTGATATGAAATTCTTAGGAGTAGAGTCGTCCCTCTTTATCGCGGTTAATCCGTTCCAGACTCTACTGCGTTAAATGAATTTCCGCGAAGTAGGATTCTTTATTTCTTTATTATTCGGCTGCACCTGGTGTTGAAGCATTTGCGGGGGTGCTCGAATACATAGACCTACAGTTCATACGTACAATAATTTTAATTTTAATTGTAATACAGAGGTGTATAATTGACTTAGACAACTGAGCGCGCGCTGTATCATTTTCACTGTCCTGCAACTTTTTAATGAATAAATGTATTTGAAAAAGCCGCGATAGAGTGAAGCCGCGAAAGTCGAAGCGCGAAATGGCGAAGGACGACTGTATAATCACAATGGAATTGGATAAGGAATTATAAATAATTTGGAAATGGATGGATATGCAGGTATGAGGAAAATGGGTAATGGAGGGAAGGTTCATTGAGTTAGCTTTGCAACGCTACTGTAAGAATGGAGAGTAAAGATACTAGGTGATAAAGACATGAGAGTGGTATTTATGCAGAAAATGAGTAGCGGATTTTGTACGTTTACAGAGGACTTCTCCCTCCCGCCAGCCTGGTAAAGGCATCAGCCTGCGATTATCTCTGCCTCAGGAGAACCGTCTACCACTGTCATTCCTTTGTGAAAGACGCCATCAGGTTTCATCTTACCGCTTCGTGTGAGTTAGTGGTGGAGAATCTTACCAGGTATAATTATACATCTTACGCCAGATTCGGATTAAGTGAGTCACAGGAATAATAAAGGAAAACTCGGACTAGTCATCCGTTTGAAATTTATGAATTATTTTTTAATATTTCCACTGACACGATACTGCTGGGTGAACTTAAATTAAAATGTACAAATTAGTACTTAAAAAGAAAAATGTGAACGTTATTAGATTGAATAAATGGTAGAAAATTACGCAAATGGTATTAAGCTATATATAATTTTCCTGTGAATCTCGCCGTGATGGACGCCATCCTGCCCAGGGTTCTCCTCGGCCTGGTGTCCCGCGCAGATTGGGATCGGCTCCGGGCCCCAGGCTACGGGAGAGTGGCTGGCTGGTCAATGATTTTTCCTTCAAAATAAAAATAAGTGAGATTTGTACAGTTAAAAAAATATATCGCTTTATAAAAAAAATGAAAGTTGATGAAGAACTTTACTTGATCAAAAAGATTATTATGAATTACAGTTCAGCCAGTGACTAGAAATCCCCCAAGTTTATAGTCTAATTAGAACCCAAAGGGAGAGAAATAGATTTAAAAAGTATATTAAAGGAATATAAATCTGTGTGACACGGCAAAAATCGGAAATCATAACCATACCCTACAGAATTGCTCAGATGTGTGGAGTTGTTATGAATATGAATACAAAGGACACAGTGGGCAGTGTTGGGTGATGGTGTGAGAAAAGAAAGACGTGTCCTACTTTATAAAGAGATAGAAAAAACCCATAATCTCTCCCTTGCCTTTATACACTTGATAACAATCGAAAAATGAAAATCATCAGCCTCCCCCATATTTCAATCAGCGATTCTGATCTCATTTCCTATAGGTGAGCATAGGGTGGTTTTCAATTGCCGGTTCCTTTTCGCTTCTTTTTTTTTTGAGGTTTTAAGCGTTTAATGTGTATAATTGAAACCTTTCCTCCTTGATTTACTTTCCGATTCCTTTGATGTCGCTCAAAGGTCGGTCACATGCGTCAGCGCTGGCTGCCCTGCGTAATTCCGCAGCTGCCGGAATGCCTCGGATTTCCTGCGCCTCATCTCCGTTCTCCATGCCGTCCGGAGGCTGACCAGTTGTGAAATGAAGCTTTATTTGGCATTTTGTGCAAGGATGTTAGAATGTGGCAGTTCTTCTGAAATCCCACCTCGCTCACCTTTTCAAGATGTGCACAGCATGTAGAGCTGAGAGCGAAGCTCTTGTAGCCAAAGTGCAGGGAGAGCCGGACGAGGGGCTAAGGACCTTGATCAAGGGCCCAACGGAGATGTGGCTACTCTGCGAAGCACAGGATGCAACCCAACACCCTTCTCATCACAGTCACTGATCCCTACTTCCTTAGCCCCCCCC